ATATTAACGATGGTGTTAGCACTACTAAGGCATCGTGCATCACTAAAATTACATTAGGATTGAAGTATTCTTCTACTTCCACTCTTTCTACTAACAGGCGATTTGAATGCATTAGGTATGTGAGGACATCTACCAATATGCTCCGCTTGTCATCTTGCCTCCCTGGTGTTATTCTCATGCGACATCATGTATCACTACTATCAATGGGTATCAATCATCTCTGCATACCACAGCAAAACAAACAGTAGACAGTGGCAATTTGCTGATTAATGAAAGATAATATCGCTTTAATTTCATGAAAACATCTGCCATCAAGTTATATTAGTTGGAAAACGTTTTTTTTATTGAGGCCTACTGTTCAAGATCACCAAAACTAACATTTGTCTCACCCTCAGATGTCAACGAATGGGTGGTGTATTGAACCATTGTCACATTTGCGATGGTTTCATGAGATGCTAGCGGTTTCATTCCACGTCCTTCATACATACGAATATGTGGCTCATGTTTGAGGCTGGTAAACGCAAATGAGGCAATGCTAGCCTTGATCCCTGTGGAAAAGTTCCTTATGCAATACATATGTTGCTGTAATGTACACTTTAGAGAGGAGGCACATTTACAATCCGAATCCGGCGGCATAGTCGGCCTCTCCCAAGCCTGAGTTCGATTGTGTGTCCTCCCCTCTCCAAACTTTGTACTCGTTTTTCGATCCACTTCCTTCTAATTAACATGTTGAAATCTGTACTACTTATGCTATTTTAGTGTACCTTTAAGGGAGGATGCAATCGAGAAATTCGAATCTCGTGACCGGATCGTCCTCTCCCATACCTAGTGACTGCGGTTCCCCTCGCTCCACAAATCAATCCAACCTAGTTGTTCTAAGAGTAGGAGGAACTGAGATAAGGAGAATTACGAGTCTCGCCATACACTTACGCTTTCTTCTTTTGTTTTTTAACGTGTTGTCCTTTCTAACATACCAGTATTTTACTTTTTATTTCTTCATTTGTACATGCAAACTGGTTTTTTCATGTTTCTTGCCCCTTAGTGCCTTTTTGCTTACTTATTTTTTGTTCCTTGTTTTTGTTTAATTTTTTTAATATCACTTTATTATTTCAAAAACACTTCACATATTTCTTGTTTTTTTTTGTATTGTCAACCTTGAGCCTATTGGTTGTTTCCTGTGTATATCGTCATCGGTACTGTGAGTTGTCCGGTGATTATAGTGGCGCCACAATTTCAGCTGGACAGAGACAAGTTGAAATGTATTTATGGTTGTATGAAACGTAATGTAGACCCGAAAATATTTGTTTCTGGTGTTGAATCTGGTGTGCTCTGAGAGATATTTGAAGAAGAATAAGCTAGTAATTGGGCCTTGCTGTAACTCCATACCTTGATTAGATAAGAATGGGCTTCGTTTCTTGTGTTGGTGTCTGCTTTGTGATATGAAATACCTTTAAATTCCTTATTTTTTGCCGAATCCTTTTTTTCTTCATCTCTATCGTTCTGTACGCGTTGGCAATGGTGGCTGAGTGTAGCAATACACTCTACATGTACATAATCTTTAGTTTTTACCAGCTTGAAGCTGACATGGACAGGAAACTCACTTAGCTAGTTACTTTTGGTCCTTCTTTAGCCTGAAAAAAGAGGTTCTAGTCTTCAAATTTACCTTATTTTTTGCTGTTTGACTTTGTTCTACTGGCTTTCCTACTACTTGATACAAGCGTTGTGCTGCTTCGCTCTTTGGCTACCTCTAGGTAAATGAGAATACCTTTTGCCATTTAAATGAACCTTGTCTGGAAGCGAGCATATTAATCGTCTTTCAAGTTGTAATTTAAAGTTATGTTTCTAAGCTAAAATAGTACCCATGAGCATGTGAAAGTATACTTAACATTAGGCACTCTATTCAGGCAGAAGGAAACCACTAAACACCGCATCAGTGCCCCCAAGTTCTTCCAGTTTGCTAGGCGAGTGTGCGTATTTTATGGCAAGTATGTTTACTTGACGTTCCATGTGCTAGGTCACTTATTTTAGAGGCCTCAGAATTTGTTTGGATTCTGATGAATTACTAACACCACGGGTGTGGTTCATCCATCAGGCTGCCAAATGAAGAAGGTGCTCGAATCAAGTAAATGTGGTAAAGTATGTTTCAAAACCACTAATAACTCACCAAATCGGGAATCATTCTAGCTGGCCACTATTGAAACTCAGTTTTTAGAGGACAAATAAAGAAATTGTTGCCAAATGTATTATTTATAGCTATTGACAACGCCATATCATCGACTTTGTGCTATGCAAATGATTATTTCAATCCGTTTAGTTAGCATGAATTTCTGAAATAACTTCCATTTTCTGACAAAATAGCAGATCCTAACACAGTTTGATCTTCCTTTGCAAATTGTCGACAAAGGTTTATTCCGTATTTTAGGGCTTTTTGAACATTGTAAACAAGCACTATTCCAATATGTATTAATTTATTAGAGCTTTGAATGTGTTAACACGCAAGAGGAAATGCTACGAAGGGCTTGCCATCAAAACGCGCGACTAATTTTCACCCAGCCCCAGCCAATCGCATCATTTAGCACATGAAGTGGGAACAAACCGCTCCTTCTGTTTGGCCTTTGATGTTACGCACGAGAGCCAAAAGCCTGAGTGAACCAATAAAAAGACGGGTCACGCTGAATTGAATTGAATTCAATAATTACATGCCGAATTTAATGCCAATGTGGAGTATGATCTTAAATACTTAGGCTCCAATTAAAAAAGTGCTGGCTAGAGAAAGCTGAATTCAACCAGTAAAGCCGGAAGTGAATGATGATTAGGGGAAAAAATTAAAACTTGTGCTCCAACTTTGGTGATACAGACAAGAATAAGCAACACTTAAAGATTTAATGCCAAATGAAACGCAAATATAAAATTCACTATTTTAGTGCAGTTACATGAAAAGCTGTGCGAAATACGCTGCCAGCATAAAAAGCATGAATGAAAAAAAGTTTACAAATTATAAAAGTACGTAATTGAGCACTGCGACGGACGGAGCTAAAAAAGAAATGAAATGTGAAAAAAATATAAAAAAGAACACAGCGAAAATAGAAAAAAAGTTAGAAAAGAATTCAATTTTAGGGCACTAATCATTCCTCTATTACGTAGGTTCGGCATCGCGGTGCGTTTGGCTGGACGTTGACTGTGGCAGACGGGCAAGATGCCGGCTTTTGGCAGTCTCGCCTACCACCGAACAGGTACTTGCAAGCCCGAGAGCGTAGAGTGCGCAGCTTTGCAATCGAATGGAAGATAAGAGCGTTTATTTGTGCGCTCGCATAGTCTGCGAGTTGCATTCATTCATGCCTTGTAGCCATATTAGCCGTAATTTTTCCTTGTGTCCATACCTCCATCCATCTGCACACATCAATGTACGCAGGTCTCACGATACCTTCCTCGGGCAATGCTTCCTTATTGATGCCGCTGATTGTGCGTTTGGAATCAATTATATTCTCTTTCGGCTTTTTTTTCTTTGTACTAAATTCCACACCTTTTTTACTTATGCTGTTCTCTTTTGTGTGTGTTTTATGCGTTTTTCTATTTCCTCCTGTTGGTAATAGGTCGGATGTAGAGATGGGGCCAATTGCAGAGCTATGTTTATCATTCCATTCGAGCATTACGTACTCTCTGGCTGTTTTCTGCGTTGCTCTTCCACTGCAATGTCTTCTAATTGCAGTGCTTTATTATTAAGGAGTAGATCGTTTTGTATTTGGGCCTTGAAGACAAATGTTGAGTGATGGTTAGAACCAGGGAATTGCTTCGTTTTCTACCTTATCTGTTCATTGACAGAACCGATAGGCATTGTAGCTTTTGCTCATTCAGTCCGGCGATGGTGTGAGGCAGCTCTCATGACGGTCTTGCACATTTCCTGCTGTACAAATTTTATGGGCTTTCTGTGGATGTCTTCCTACTGCTCTTCCTCACATATCTACGTTTTCCTATTTGTACAACCCTTCGCCTTTTTCGCTCGGTAGAGCACCAGGCCTGTGAATTTTGCCTCCCTACCCGCCTTCTCTTTTCTTGAAAGCGAATCAGCTAGGTATTGTTTGGCTTTATCAGTGCCTCTTGGAGCCGCCTTTGCCTCTCTGAAGTTGGTCATGGTGAAACGCACAACTGTTTTGTTGCCAAGACCTCTCGAATTTGCAAGCATTTTGGTACCGCTGAGGTATTTCTGTTCCCTTATCGTACTGCTGCGTTTGAAGAGGGATTTGTAAGTCATCCTTTGTGACTGTGCATTCCCGAATATCATGTGCGGCATTTTATGACCTTTGCAGTTTCGTATATTTTTGCATTCCTAGGATCCAATGAACATTGAACTGAACCTTACAATTGTGATATTTTATTGCTTAAATTACACTGGAGGGCATTACTTGTTAATTAATTCAAATTTAAATATATGTCTTATTTGGTTTTCATGTTTTTCATGAAGTTTTCCGGAATATGGTTGACAGAAGAATTGATGTTAGCACTAAAAGTTTTGTCTGGATTTTTTGTTAATTACTATCAATCGTCACAAAATTGCTTGGTCTAGATTAGAAAATTTGTTACCAGAATGTTCTTGTTAAATCCCCCCAATACAAAAACTTCCTCTTTGTAAAATAAATCATGTGCCAAAATTTCCTACATGTACTGCCACTTTTTACCTTTTACTTTACTTTTACTTTTAACCTCTTTTAGTGGCTAAAGAATTGTCGTGATGTTTCGTGACAGTGTAAAAACGATTCTGTTGACTTTGTTGAAATGCTCCGCTTTCATTGCATATCATAAAGTACAGACCTCCAAAAGGGGCCAAAACTTGGGTGTTTTAGTTTTGTAAATCGACATTAAAGTAGCAGGGATTCGATGGATAGACGGATATTTGAATGTATACAGGATGGATGTGTGATCGATGGACGGAAGGGGAACGGAAACGGTATGGATGTTTTTGAAGACCTTGAGGTAAGGTTTCGTATTAACAAGAAGGTATGACTATTCCCAAAGTGAAATAAAAAATGACGCGTTTGTCGATGAAAGAAGGAATGGAATTGAGGAGGAATATTGTTACGTGCGTTGGAATAATCGGGAATGAATGCATGAAATGTGTGAGGAAGAACGCAAAATTGGAAGGGCAGAAAGAAGTAGGAGGGACGTAGCACCTTAGAACGATCAATAGTCTCCAAGTATTGCAAGACATACTGTGATTGCAGATGGACTGTAAATATTCCTCGTATTAGGCTCCTGTGCAATAATAGGTTGTTAAACTCCGACTGAAGGTTGAAGTGTAAAATGACTACTGGTTTCCATGATAGGGATTAGTGATTATTGGAAGGAGATGTATAGAACTGAGGTAGATAAGCAAACAGGTTCATATTGCTTATTAATTAGTGCTCAAGAAAGTAAAAGCGTAACTTGTGATGTGCTTTTTAAGTTCACAGTAAGCAGTAAGCAGATGTTAAAGTCTAATGCAACTTTTCAACTTGCTTTGTTGGTCCACGATCGTGAGAATGAAATTTTTACGTGTTCCCAAGTATGTTGTGCTAAAATAAAGCTTAGAAAAGAGTAGAACACTTTATCCTTAATTAAGCTTAAACTGTAATCAAATGGATCTTAAAACGTGTGGTTAACGCTGATACGTGACTTCTGCGTTGTATTTCTGAAGGTGTAGGTGTCTGCGTATTCTGTGTCTGTCCCTCGTACGCCTTGTCAAACAAATTTTCCATGCTTTATTTCAGTGATTATCCTACCTTACAAGCCACAGTAGATGGTAACTAAACGACTATTCAGAAGGGGGCGCTATGGTTCAAGAGTTCTTACGGCACTGGAGGACTCCACCCGAGGAAGTCTGACCCTCTTGACCGACACAACGCAGAAACTTTTGCCGTAAATATAGAAGAGGAGGACGCGTTTCAGACGCATTAGACTAAGGTGCACCTCAACGGAATCACAAGCAAAATGCCTGTCATCAAACGCCTGTATTGCGAAGGTCACTCAAAGAGTAGCTCACCTTGCTAACGTTTACTAGGTGATCTGGTTGACTGAGGAACGCTCCTAATCTTGCTATAAAGGTCAAGATTTATTAAGATTTACATCCAGTTTTGTCGCGCTGAAGCCCAAGGGAAAGTAGTCATCACGTCCTTCTGGTTTACTTAGAGCTCGAAAGAATGACTTTAAGTCGTTTGAAGTAGAGAGGGTAAGGAAAGGGTGGGCTCGTCTAATTTGAAGTCAAAAGCAGAGAACCTGAATATGGGGTTTTGAATTTGGTCACCTTTTGCGGCTGTTGCGTAGCGAAATCGTAAGTGATTCCTGATGCTTCTCCGTTGCGAGCTTTGTCTGTGCCCCAAGAAAGTTGATATTCATGCTGCAGAGCTTTTCAACTACAACAAGTAGGCAAAATTCCCTTTCGAACGGGTCCACTCAGCGGCTATGGTTGAAAGGGAGCTGCGAATGGCTTGTTCCGCCAGTAGTTGGATGTTCTTTGCATGCTCCTGATCGTCTTTGTCCAATTTACGCTGGTGGTGAAAACTTTCTGGTTGGTGCCTGTTCTTTCTGACCGATGACATGTCGAACTAAGGTAGTAAAACATTCTAGCAACTTTGTGTTTGGGGCTAAACCAACACCTACGCTGTTCGAAAATAGGTTCTAAAGGAGGCAACCTCGAATGTGAGGTGTTTTTTGGCGTTGAGCGCAGGACCAGAGGTCACATTTGGTGTTTCAAAGCCTATGCAGGTCTTGAAAGTTAAGGTGAGTGGACTCTGCCACAAGTCTAGTAGTTCCAGTGTTTACCTTTTTGCCTGCACCTTCACTAACTTGGGACAAGTAGGCTCATTGAGTAGGGGCAGTCTATCTCGGTAATATTATTAACGGTGTGTAGTGGTCAGTATTACGCTTGTTCAACGTACACTTCTACCTTGGAGGTGAATGATATCAATCCCATTACAACCCTCTTGTTCTATGATCGCCTTTTGATTCAAGGATGTATTCAAGCAAACATACTTCAAGAAACGTAGATAAATCAGCAATATGTTCCTATAGGTTTTTTTGCATTATGACCATCTTCTAGTAATTACTATTATTATGGGAACGGTGATCACAAAGTAGGGGCGCTGACGTCATTTAAATTTTCACAGCTTCTTCCTACTTTAATTTCGCGGACGGTATAATATGGTACAGTAAATAAGAGTTCTACGC